CATTATTTACAGGTATATATGGGGAAGGAGGGAAATGAGTTCCATGAAACTCGAACACGCCACCCACGGAGGTGAACAACCCTAACTCAGGATCTAATGCAACTTGGTCGGAACGGGCCATTCTTTAAATAATGTAATTTATATCAATTTTAAATTTTAATTTTAATTTTTTTAATCTCATTTATTATTATTTTATTCTTTAATCCTATATTTCCCCTAATAATTTCAATTCAATCTATTGCATTAGGGTGATTTAAACCCAATTATAAGTGGGTCCTCTTAGCAACCAATCAGGACCCGAAAACCCTGCTATCTCAACATCTATTGGTCCCAACCCACGCCACCACCACCCTCTGTCTTACCCTTCCAGTCTTGGAATTCCAGAACTTGCCCTATGAGGTAGGACCACTCCACTCACTTGCTAAATGAAGAAAGGGCTTTAATATCACTAATAAAAAAACAAAAACCTTTTTTTTAATATTTTTTATTTTCCATATTAATACAAAATATCATCCCTAAAAAAAAAAAATCAAAATTCCCCTGCCCAAAATCTAGAACCTTCTAAATGATTTTTGTAATTATGATAATTTTTTATCAGCTTTCCAACTATAGCAATTATCTCTATATAAACCCCCTCAATGATGCTTTCATGGCTTCTTCTTATTCAAGGCGGTGGCAAATTACCGACTTCGTACGGCTGAAACTAGATTCTCGAAGAAGAAAAACAACGAAATCCCAAGCGTCCCTTTGTCCTTCCTTCTCTTGTATATGTATTCTGATTCTCCTTTGATTCTGCTTCCAGTTCTTAATTCTCCTCTGAAAATTTCCCCTGTTTTTTCTCTTCTACTTTCTTTTTACGGCATTTTCTTGGCTTTGTTTGTTTGATTTTGGACCCGATAATTACCTCAAATTCTCAATCTAATCAAATCCCAGAAAACCCAGAAAGAATCTTGAAGAATTTCGGATATGAATCCGTTTTTTCTGGTAAAAGAGGAGTACCCGGGTTTCAGTTCCTCACAGTACCAGGATGACCCATCATCAGGGGTGCCGCCGTCGCCGCAGCCGCAACCCAAGGAGGGTCTCCACGACACAGGACCACCTCCATTCCTGACCAAGACTTTTGACATGGTGGATGATCCCAACACCAACCTCATAGTTTCATGGAGCAGAGGCGGCTCCAGCTTCATCATCTGGGATCCTCACGCCTTCTCCACCAATCTACTCCCTCGCTTCTTCAAGCACAATAACTTCTCCAGTTTCGTTCGACAGCTCAATACATATGTACGTATAAATCAACCTAAAATAAAAAAAAAAACCCCTTTCCCCTGTTTCTTATTAATGTGCATTTAAAAAAAAAATTCATTTCTCCTCTTTTGGCTTGTTTAACTTTAAGCGTCTTCATTTCAACCTAGGTTAAAAAAAAGCGTATAATTTTTATGGGTTTTTAAAAATGTCAAGAATCTATTTGTTCATTGGTTGCTTTTAAAGCAAATAGTTTCTGAAAATTTTCAATGTTTAAGTAATATGTAGCAGCTTAATCTCCGTTGGTTTATTATTATTTTTTCATCTTAGTGGTGCTTTCCGGACGTGGTGGGACCTTGTTTAATTATTAATTAGAGGCTGTTGCTCTCATCAAGTGGTTTTTTATTACAAAATTTTTTAATTGGTTACTATTTTTGGAAATCCACCATCTGTTTTATTTTATTTTTTTTACAGATTTTAATGGATTCATGGATTTTGATGTAGTTGATTTTGATTCTTGCAGGGGTTTAGAAAGATTGATCCAGATAGATGGGAGTTTGCCAATGAAGGGTTTCTCATGGGGCAGAGGCAGCTGTTGAAGAACATAAGGAGAAGGAAGCCTCCCTCACAACCTATTCTTCCCCAACAGGCTATTGATGCTTGTGTTGAAGTTGGCCGGTTTGGTCTAGAAGGAGAAGTAAATCGTTTGCAGCGGGATAAGCAGGTTCTGATGATGGAATTGGTGAAGTTAAGGCAGCAGCAGCAGAGCACAAGAGCCTATCTTCAGGCAATGGAGGAAAGATTGCAAGGAACAGAAAAGAAGCAGCGGCAAATGATGTCTTTCTTGGCTAGGGCAATGCAGAATCCGATGTTTCTGCAGCAGTTGATGCAGCACAAGGAGAAAAGGAAGGAGTTTGAGGAAGCCATAAGTAAGAAAAGGAGGAGACCGATTGATCAAGGACCCACTGATGTTGGCTGTGGTGAGTCCAGCCAGAGTAGTCATCAGGCTAGGAATCCTGTTAAGGTAAAACCTTTAGAATTTGACAATTATGGATATGAAGTGTCGGAGTTGGAGGTACTCGCACTGGAAATGCAGGGCTATGGTAGGGCAGGGAGAGAGCAAGAGGGTCCATCAAAAAGTCATGACAAAGAACTTGATGAAGGATTTTGGGAGGAATTGTTGAATGAGAGGTTTGAAGGGGAGTTGAATATACCCGGATCAACTGAAGATGAAGGTGAAGATGAAGATGTAGACATATTAGCTGATCGGTTGGGTTATTTGGGTTCAAGTAGTCCCAAACAAAGAAAGTGAATCCCCTAATGCCCTTTTGCTTCACCAATCATCTCACTGAGGGGAAAGCTTCTACACTTTCAGTCTAATTAGCATTAAATAGCATCTTAATCTATGCAAAATGGGGTTCTTCATATGCCATCACGCTACGATCTTAATTGACATTGATTTCTTGTTGTTGGCAGGAGGGAAGCAACAGTTTATCCACGGATGTTCCCGGTGTCTCTAACCTTGTTTTCCATTCTATTTTTGCTTATATGAATCTATTAATCCTTCTATGCTTTGGTTAGGTTGCAGCAGTAGTAGATATTTGTCTGAGTTAGTCATCAAACTCGTCATATGTCTCAAGGTTGTTGTTTTTCACTTCAAAAAAAAAAAAAAATCCCCTCCATTGTACCTTGTAGAATGCATTTATGATCTGGAACTAATATATCCATCTCTCGTTGTAATTTCATTTTGTGGCTATAGATGAGTGTAGATTGTCCTGAAGCAGTTGAAATGTGGACAAAGATGTAGCTGCAAGCTGCAGGAACTACAACTGCAATGTTGCTATGTATGTGGTAGTTATGTGGTAGTTAAGTTTGTCAACCACCGGTCCAAAATTTCGGTTGATTTTTTGTAGTACGTCTGTCTTTTCGCTTTCCTTATGAGACATGGGAGAGGTCGGTGATAAATGTCATCACTGATGTTGCATTTTCTTACCCTGTAGATTTTTTTCATGAGGACGGTGTACTCTGAGTTTCTAAGTCGGTTCTAATGCTGTGCAGCAGTTTAGTTGATTTCTTGAAGCATTTTAAAAAAAATTCATATGGAGGACTTGGAAAAACTCCTCTTCCAAGACCCTTAAGAGAAGATTTGCTATTATAAACCCTCCTATTCCTATATATATGTAATGGAGAAAAAAACTTGATTATTATTGTCCCTTTAATGGTGATTGTGTTATTTTTATTTTTATTTCTTTAAGTAGTCAATGTGATTGATCTCAATATATTTAATTTAAATTAGTAGAAAAAAATGTTTATATGGGAAATATTCCAATGATATTGGAATGTTATGGGAGAAAAAATAAGAAGATTAATATCACATATATGAACATATTGAATTATTATTATTTATGCTAATCATTGTTTAGGTTTAGTGTAATTTTTTTAATGTAAATAGCCAACACTTTTTTTTATATCACTTTATTAAACTTATTTTAAATAATTAATTTTAATTAATATTTTGTACAACATTTTTTAAATTATAAAAGATAAAAAAAATAAATAGAGATTATTTATCAAAACACTTTGTCCCAATATAAAAGTATATATACAAACATACAAAATAATAAAGGATTGCATCAATCCTGTGATTAAAAATAAGTATAGTTATTGATATATACTAGTATATTATTTTTTATTTTATTTAAACACATAATAATAAATATAAAATTTTGCTTGTAGTTTACCATAAAGTAATTTCATAAAGATGAACTAGATTAAATCTGAGGATGCCCTATTAATATTCATAGTTTCATACTACTTAATCATCTATACTCCATATGGGATTCACGACACCGACATTTTTATTAAGAAAAAGAATCATTAAGCGTATAGTTTAGACTACATCCTATCACAAAAAAATCATAATATTTTGAACCGTCGTTCCGGTCAACGACATTAGATCTTAGGTTAAGATTATTTCTTATGAATTATATGTTTGAATTTTATGAAAATCATTTCTTTCATCTCCCAATTAAATTATTTATAATTGTAATACCTGAAAAGAAAAGAAAAAAAGAAAAAAGATCATAATACTTTTTTCTTTCTGTAAGAGTGGATAGTACTTGTTACCTAGTGGCATTTGCTTTGCTCCCAACAAGAGTGGATGGTACTTGTAAGAATCGGGTCCAAGTCCCAACTCATCATCGTTCACATTCACCTTTCCCCAATAATTGCTTGTCTCAAGGGGAAAAAAAAAAGAACAAAGAAACACAGAACTTTTCAGGTAAGAAAAAGAAATACTGAACTTTATTTTTATTTTTTAAAAATGGGCCACGGTAATGGGACTCAGCACCTTAGGAGAAATGCTATAATAGTGCCAAGGAGAAAATGAAAACTAAACACATAACTTTTAAGTTTATAATTCTATTCATAAGACAATTGTTTTCAGTATTTTTTTGTCTCTCAGCTTTATAAATTATTTATTTTTTATCATTCTGTCATATAAATGATGATATAGCTTTTAATTCAATCTAAAGTAACTCTTTTTTGTTTTTAATGATTCGGTAATAATATGACATTACATTAGATTTTGTTTAGTATGATTTTAGTTTTAGTTTTGAGTTTTCATTTTTTATATATTTAGAAACTGTTGTTATATTTAGAAATCAAAATTTTTATAAAAATTTATATTTATTAAATTTAAGATATTAGTATTTATCCACCAAATTTGTAAAAAAATTAAGTGAAAAAAAAAATTTATAAAACTATCTCTTTTTAATAAAATATTATAAAAAACCAAAATAGTAATATTCTTGTTTTAAAAATAAGTTATTTTTGTTTTTTTTCAATAAAAATTTATTAAAACAATCTAATTATGAAATTTTTTTACTTAATTTTTTATAACTAATAAATATTTTTTTTATAAATTTAATTTAAATATGATAGTAATGATTAAATATATAAAAAAATAAAAATCTAAAACTTAAAACTTAAAATTAAATTTTATTATAAAGATAAAAGAAAACTATAACTACAATGCCAGACCAACAAAAAATGCCTAAGCCATCACCCCTTGACTAGACTTGGAACTATGGGATAGGCGCGGGGTAGCCCATACCAGTAGAATTACCCAAACCCATAAACATTTTTAAAAAATAGAAAGAAAAAAATTTACATTCCAGCCCAACTTAACATTCAAACAACATTGGGCTTTTAGACCTTTCTGCGCCTAAAACAACGTTTCAGCGTTGAAGGCCCAAAGTGAACACAAACGGGACAAGAATTGGGCATCTTGCATTTCAGCACCCTCCTCCCCTCATCATCTCCTCTGCAAAAAGGGTGGAGCAGCACATGGCGCAATTATGTTTGGTATTGGTGAGTGATGCCTTGCTCTAGTTTTTTCAGATTCCAATTCTCCATTTCTTGTTCCCTTACAACTTATTGTAATCGTTATTACTGTAGACACTCTGATACTTAAAGTTAACAGTATAAATAAAAAGAGAGCTAAAAGAAAACTCTAGTGGATTTCCAATACCTCTAGGGTATCTTAGATATTTATAGGACTTAATGAGGTATCACGTGATCTTTTTAGCTAGATAATCGGGATCCAACATGTCACTTAGTTGGAAACCTGTAGCTACTTACTGTGCAACTGTATGGACCTCAACCTAGTTCGTACCTCGGTTGTTAAGTGATTTGAGCGTGAACTTGGCTCAATTAGATGGTCAGCAATCCTAATAATATACTTATAACGTGTCCGAGATCAATGATGTCGGACCCACTTACAGTTACTACTGCTGCTACCTCGCATAGGTCCGGTTTAGCGTTTTGGTTGTGCAATGCGTAAGCACTGTTGCAAAATATAGATTTGACGTTGGCATCTCCAGCTAAAAATCTTAGATGCGGAGATATCGAGTGGATTTGTATGAATCATTAGTTGAAATGGAGACATCTATTTCGAATTCGTATTCTGAAACTCATCTTTGTAATTGTCTTCTGATAAATGATGCTTTGTGCTAAATTTTTCCTAGTGCTTAGGAGCAGTTGGAATTCTAGTGGTTGATTTGTGATTTATCTTGTTCTGTTTTAGATAAAAATGATATATTCTCAATGTGTGTATTTTTGGAGAAATTAATGTAGACTCATTTCTTATGTCTAAGGACTCTAAATGATTAAAGACGACAGAGACTATGGTTGTCTGTTACTGGTTGCTTGAATTATTATTAGCCATGATGGTGCACTGATCAAAGTTGAAAAATTAACTATTTTGTATCTTGTCAATGACCTTGTGTTTGAGAATGATTGGATCGTCTTCTTTGTCATGTATATTTAACTTAAAGAAATGGCCGACACGATATAACTTCATTTCATTTTCTTTTCAATAATGATCAGCATAAGGAGACAGAAATGGTATTCAAAAGGGGTAGGATATAGCCTTCTGTGTCTTGCTACCTCATTAACAATAAGATTGCATTGTGAAAAATAGATATTGTGAGCTGTTATCAGGCTGAAAGTGATGAACTTATAAAGAGCGCTATTGTAGTAAGACATGGCTAAGGCATAGTCTAATTGGTAGTCACACTCACACCTCTTGTTTAAAGAGGCATGGCTAAGCTGAAAGTAGTCTTTTGGTCACTAAACATTGGGAGAAAGAAGTTATAAAAGACTATAAGAACAGGTTGTGCAGAATTAGGCACCAAAATAGTAAATATACAAGTTAACAGGTGAAAAAGTTACAAAATTTAGATTGGTCAGACAAATATGGCTGTCTTGCTAAGTCAAAGATGAGTGAATTACTACAATGAGGTCACCGTTAGGATTGGTTGAACATAAACTATTGCTATATGTTGATGATGTGCAACTAAATTGAGTATTTAGACAATATTTAGTTTCTGCTGAGGGAGTTATATATAAAGGAGAAGGAGAGGTAAAAGAAATCTAAGTAACGGTACAGAGATTTGCAAAACAAACGACCATGTTAGTGCATATCTGCTGAATATGAGTTGTGCATCTCATCACAAATAGGCAATCACATTTCAATATCTATACAGCTGTTGGTCTTATTTGGTGCTTAGCATAAGGTTGAGGTTGACTCATGACTTTGCAAGTGAATGGCCTATTTTAGCTATATAAAGTTTCTTTTCTGAAACTTATTCTAGATGTTATTCTCTTGAGGAAGTTCACTGGAACTTGTTATCTGGCAGTCCTCAGAAGTTATTTTTGTTTTGGAAATTCTTTCTTATGCTTCTCTCTGAATTTTACTTTTGATATACCTTCGGCTGCAATCTCATGCATTTTACCCCAGCTGTAGCCCTAACTTATCCAAATCATTCTTGGAAGAAATCTGCTGTAGTGCTAGTTGACTAGTTCTACAAATACACCTTTAGTCTTGTGGAGGAAAGCTAAAACGTCCACTGAGTTGATGGTGTTTTTTCCTTTTAAATTTAATCTTGGGGAGCATGTAGTGATTTGACCGTAGTGAAGAGATTTTGTCTATATTCATCTGTCTTGACATTATTGTGAACATGTTGCTTACAGTTAGACAAATTTTAACCTTAGTAATTTTGTGATTCTCCAAACTTGCTGGTACTGTTCTTGTCATTTTTTGCAGCACTTCCAGGAATTCTGGGTTCATGCCTGCCAGTTTTGGACGTAGATTGGTAGATTCCTGAAGGAACTATGAAAAGATAATCCAGCAGCCTCATTAACTGTGGACCTGTGGTAAGATATATTACCCAAACCCAACTTTATGAAGTTCATAGTACTTCAGGGTGACAGTGCAATTTTCCAAACCATAAGAAGTTGAGATGAAAATTTCTTTTACGTTGGTATGCAAAGTTTCTGTTTACTAGTATGCCTGATGTGGGGTTTTTGTCCTGTAGGCTAGTTTGTCAATCCATTGCATTTATCTGTTGAAGAAAGCCAAATTACATAGAAAGCAGAAATGGCCCGATTATTTCGTGGTGCCACTACTGCGTGTTAATCCTAAAAAAAATGTAATGTGCCAAAGAGCTGAATTTAAGTAAAATTTCTTTGTTTCCTGACTTTAGATTGCTGTAAACGCAGGACCAGGACCAGCACGGTGGAAGTGGAAGGATGGAGCTAAACAAAAAGACCCAAAACTTGGTAATCATGTCATCATTTTTAATGCTATAACATTCTCTTATTTAGGTATACTCCATCTGTTCAACATGGACTTACTTTCTAATTTATTTTTTTTTCTTTTTGAACATGGGGCAATTTGGGGAAGGAGGAATTCTTTTCAAGTAATAGGCGCGTCAAACTCTCCATCTACTTGAATCCAAGTTTTTAGGTTTGAATAATGAACCAATTGATTTGATAGGTTGGTTTTATTTTTTAATTTTTTAAATATTAATTTTATATGAAAATTTAATAAATTATACATATAATAATTAAAATTTTTAAAATAATTTTATTTATATATTATGTTAAAATTGTATCTAAAATTAATATTTTAAAATTTTAAAAATAAAAAATAATTGATTTTTCAATTAGAATCAATCAAAAAAAAGATTTGTAGATTTGATGAACTGGCAGACAATTGCCAATCCGAGAAAATGCAACCTGTGATGGGAGCACGTGAGTGGAACACGTGGATCGAGGAAGAGGAGGAAGACTGGAAGAGGAAGAAGATGGGGTCAGCATTAGTTCCTGCAAACCAAAAACCAGAAAGGAGACAGCTTATGAAAAAAGCCTTTCTCGTTGCTTTCTCGTGAGGTCATGAATCATGACACGCTTAGTGGGCCCCCATTCTTCTGTTCTATTGTCTTTGCCTCCCCTCTCCATGTTTATATGGGCCCGGTCTGGGTTACTGGATCCATAAGGAGTACATTTCTCGTTTTTCATTGAACCCAGTTTTGACCCATTAGTTCCCAAAAATAGCTTTCCAGCAATATAATTTGGAAAAATAGTTAACAATCTAAATAACTTAATAGTATTTTTTTTTCGTTAAAAGTAATAGGTTTTGAGTTTGAGTCGTATGGCGGGTGGGGTGGAATAAGAGATTGGGAAATGGTTGCTTCTCATTATACAACCAAAATAAAAAAAAAAAATTTGGAAAAAGAAAGTGTTTTACAATTTGAACTGTTTTAAACTGTATAATATTAGCCATTAAATAAGAGTTAAGCCCCTTATATCATGGGGTCCTCCTATTCAATGGTCTATATATATGTCTTATGGTCTGGTGTAGTTCGGAGCCTCACCCATCTAATGGTCTATGTCTTATGGTCTAGTGTAATCTAGATTATAAAATAGGGTTTTCATATAATTTTTTCTTTTTCTTTTTAATTTTGAGTTTACAAAATGGGATATAATTTTGACCCACTGGCTGCTTGCCTATTGTGTGACTTGGACACATGACCTTTTACTTTCACAAGTAGAAATCACGAAAATGCCGAGACTAAAATTAGAGATGGATAATCGTGATTGAATAAACAGGTCTATAACAAAACAAGAGCTTAGTTAAATGCCAACTAAATTAGAGATGGATAATCATGTTTGAATAAAGATGTCTCTAATGAAATAAGAGTTTAGTCGAGTTGGTATTTGATGCTTGCTAATTATAAACAACCTTGATTTTGGGTTAATATTATATGAGAGGTTCAATTCAATCCTCTGTAATATGCTACCCAGCTAAACTTACCATAAACTTCCTAGTTGTATTTGGTTAGTCAGGTTTGCCGTGCAGAATCTCCGGGAAACTAGGCACACACAGCTTAACAAGAAGTGACCTTTATTTGTGCAGGGGAGGGTGAGATAATACTTGAGCACTTGTGTTTAGCAGACCCAGTTGGGTACAGAATCTTGACACATGATGACACAGAAGAAAATGATAACATAATTTTAGGCCCACCAACTGCAAAAATAATGGAAATGCTTAAATTGTGCTCTTACGGTGCAAGAGAGCCAAAACTGCATGTGAGAATCTGGTAATAGGAGAACCCGTGAGTAAGGGGGATGGGTCCAATTAATCAATTTATGGCTTCTCACCTCTGCATCCACAACTCAGAGAAGCCAAAATTTGAAGCAATAAATTCCAGAATTGCTAATATTGAGTGGAAGACTGTCTCTTCAAAAGGTAAAAAATTGTCTGTTGGATTGGTCATCATGTGACTTGTACCAATACCTTCACTTTGAAGGTTACAAAGTAGTCTACTCTGCTTACTCTCTTTGTTCCGAACTATAATAATTATCATTTTTTTTTATTGAATTTAGTCCCAATTCAGTAAAAAAAAAAAAAGAAGAAGAAATACCGACAATCATTCACAAAATCAAAGGGTGTGATTTTTTTTATAAAAAAAAATTCAATTGTACAATAAGAAGTAGCTTTTTCTTATTTTTAAATTTATCTCATTTGTATGTTATGCAACTCAAACTAATAACTTTATATTTTTATTGAAAGAAAATTATCACTAAATTATTTAAATTGTAGGTGGTGGTAATTAATTTGTTTGTTATCCATCATTGATGTTCATAGTTGTTGGCATTAAATGTCTAAAATTAATCAAACCTCACCTTCACCAAAATTAGATTTTTAGATCAAATATCTAGAAGCAATAGGTGGCAACCACATGTTCACCACCCTTGAACGTGGTATGTGAATGTAGAGTTACATACAAAGGCTGGAGTTATCCCATCTTAAACCCTGCTTTCTCTTATATCAATCTTGTTGAACCTCGGCACTTGGGTCTTTGGGCCCAATGATGTCGGGTCACATATAAGTGCATTCTCCCTCTTCTAGGACAACGGTTCGAACACGACTCCTCGCGAATTTGTTTTAACAAAAAAATCTTGTTGAACCTTGGCACTTGGGTCTTTGGGCTCAGTGGCGTCGAGTCACATATAAGTGCATTCTCCCTCTTTAAGGGCAACGATTCGAATACGACTCATTGCGAATTTGTTTAAAAAAAAAAATCTTGTTGAACCTTGGAAATATTTTGATTTTTGAAGAATTAATTAATGCTCGTATGCAAGTAGCATACATGTAGTTTGAGCTATGATATATTCCTCTAGGTGACACCAAGCTAGAGACATTATGGTGTTAAAGTTGAATCAATGAAGCATAATCTTATCTTATCCAAAAAGGAAAAGGAGTGTATGAATCTCACTAAAAAGTTCAAATTGATTCAAAAAATTTATATCAAAAGAACCAATGACATTGGATTCCAAAGCATTATTGTATAGGCAAGAATATTGTTAGATGATGATCATTCATTTTACAATGGGTAATGATCAGTATATCTTTCAATTCAATATGCCTATTAATACTTACAATTTAGTCATTAAATTTTACAAGTGAAATTTTTTTCATTTTAAATTTAAATTTGAAAATAATAATTTTTTAATAAATATATTGTAAAATATATTAAATAAAATTGTGCACCAATTATTGTCCTTTTACAAAAGGTCTAGAAAATGCAAATGGGTCCTATATTATACATCTAAGGAGACTTATGGTGCTGCGGCCTTCTGATCCATCATCAGTCAGTAGGACTAAAGAGCTGCCCATGTTTAGTTCAAGCACACACTCTAAAGAAAGGGAATCCCTTGTATTCCATGGGACAATTACCATTCTAGTCATTGATGATGAGAACTTTTACGTGCATTTCCATTTGAATGGTAGGGATAGAATGGTCAACTCACCATATCCATTCAAGCTTTGCAGTTGGGTTTGGAATAAATAAAGGTGAAGGAAGAAAAGAAGGGGACTTCCAAATTTCCCTTGGTGGGGTTTTGCTTGAGCATACACTTTCACAGTACACTAAGATGTGAGAGAACAAAATTACAAAAGAAAGAAAGAATTGGATTTGGAAAATTCTCAGCTTCATAATGGAAAACAAGATATTCATTAAGATTCTACAATCCCTATATGGAATTGAAGGAACAAAGATAACTCATTTTTGTAATTAGCCCACAAAAAAATGTATAGTTTCAGTTAATATTGTTGAAAACCTTCTTAACCCTTGAATGCAATTCTTATTTGTGATTGTCACTTCATTAAAAACATCATGCGCAATTTCATATTTGCTGAGTTTTGGATCCTAACCTTAACTCTAGAATTAGAGTTTTGAATCTAGTAACGTACCAATCAACTCACCTCTAATTTAAAATGGGGTATGAACAAATGTTGAGTTTGGCAATTAATTGAGTATAACATATGAAAGAAAGGTATTAGGAGGGCAGAGAAAGTGGAGTAGGGATAGACTATCAAGGTTCTAATAATTTGTGGTTTTACAAGGTGATAGTGCAATCAAGATCCAATCATGTTAGTTGTGGGGTATTAGAAAAGGTAGAAGAAGGGCTATCTCTAGGGAGCTTTGCCTTTACCATCTCCGGAGCTTTTTAAGTTTTTTTTTTTTTTTTTTTTTTTTTGTTAGGTAGGCATTGGTTCTTTTTTTTTTTTTTTTTTTTTTCAACTCAATCCCCTTTTAGGGTTTGGGTGTTTTGTAACAGGCACAAAAGAAAAGACAGAAAGTGCCAACCTCAAAGTTCAAAAGAAAAATCATAATTTAAAATCAAAATCAAATTAAATAATTCAGAACGAAAATTCCTGAATCAAGTGGTCTACCTCTACGATTCTTCCTATCACTTTCTTTCTCCTCCTTTGTAAAATTTTCAACAATTTATCTTTTCCTTTTTATTTCTTCATTTTTTATGGTTTTTCCAATTTCTCGTCTCTCCTTAGGCTGCCACAGCCATCATCACCTTCTGTACACTACTATCTCCAATACCCAGATAATGAAAAACTCTCTATGATCTTCTGTTTCTCTCTCTGTATCTTTATATACACATAAATGGATAGAAAGGGGAGGGTTATTGGGTAGTGGAGAGGTTAAGGGAAAAAAACATACTTTTGGTCCTGTTTTTGATTGCATGGGGAAGGAGTGGATATGGGTTTTAAGGGATATTTGGAGAAAGAGAAAATATATCTGAATTTTGTTGCAGAGTTGCTCAGAGCAAGTAATCCATGGCCCCTTAGATAGTGACTTTGGAGAATAACCCATCATTATCTCTTCACGAGATTTTGCTTTTGCCACCCAATGAATGATGCCTTTCTGTATCCTCTACATGTCACTGCCACCTGTTGTTCAACAAAGCTGTGTTTAGTTGTGTCCAAAGCTGGGATTCTCTATTTCTGGCCTCCTCTCTCTTGTTGTTTCTTCAAAGGTGCAAACTTTGGCACTTGAAATATCAAACAAAGACAGAGAAATATTAGGGTAAGTTTAGTGGGTTCATTTTTCTTTTGGGTCTTGTTTTTCTCTGTTGGAGTTTTCTTCTTCCCAGGCATGTTTCCTGCGGCCATGTCCAATTCTACTTCTTTGTCTGAGGAAGCCAGTGTTTCCTCTGGTACTAGAGTTCAAGACTTTGGGGGCTTAAATCATGTTGTTTCAACCATTTCCCCACAACAACCCCAGAAAATCAAGAAGAAAAGAAGCCTCCCTGGAAACCCTGGTAAGATTCTCTTCAATTCTACTCCTAGTTTGGTTAATTTTGTCTTAAAGTTTGGATCTTTATTGCTTTTGACGCTGATCTTGCAGACCCAGATGCAGAAGTGATTGCTTTATCTCCAAAGACTCTATTGGCTACGAACAGATTTGTGTGTGAGATCTGTAACAAGGGTTTCCAGAGAGATCAGAATCTTCAGCTTCACAGAAGAGGCCACAATCTTCCCTGGAAGCTGAAGCAAAGAAACAGCAAAGAGGTGAAGAAGAGAGCCTATGTTTGCCCTGAACCCACGTGTGTTCACCACCACCCTTCAAGGGCATTGGGTGATCTCACTGGTATCAAGAAACATTACTGCAGAAAACATGGAGAAAAGAAGTGGAAGTGTGAGAAATGCTCAAAGATCTATGCTGTTCAGTCTGATTGGAAAGCTCACTCTAAGACCTGTGGAACAAGAGAATATAGATGTGATTGTGGAACCCTTTTCTCCAGGTACTAATTTTGCTTCCATCCTTTTCTTCATTTTTCTCTTGAAACAAACAAACAAACACACACCCAATAAGCAGAAATTGAATTCAAAAGTGGGAATCTTTGGATTTTGCAAAGTGGGTTTTGTTTACTGATTGATCTTACACAAGAGTGGTAAGCTATGTGCATGGAATATGTATCTAGCAATTAAATGCAGTGGCAGGTTTTATTGCCAAAGTGGACACCATTAATACAAGTGACTGTTACCGGTGACCTTTGCAATAGAAACTGAAACCAATGCCCTCTGAAATCTGAAACCCTCCCATGTTATGGTCTGAGTGAAAACAACAAAATCTGTTCTTCTTTTTAGTACTGTATTAGCTATAATTCTATACCTGATCTTCTTAAAGTCTCTTTCTTTTCTCTTCTGTTTTTTTCCTTTATCCTCTGAGTTTTACGCATCACCATTTTCAATTCATGAAAGTGTTTGGTTTGTTTTTTCCCTGTGTGTTTGATCTATCTTTTGGTACATTGCAATGCAGTGTGTTCTGCAGAGTCTCAAAAACAATGATGAAGCCATGGTCTAGTCCAAGGAAAAAGTTAGAAAAGGAGTTGATTTGCTTTTGGGTTTTCACGGCTGAAAAATCTCTGATAATTTTTCCAATGAAACCATATATATGTCAGAACTTCATAATGATAAGTAACTGATAAATCTGCAAAATATCTGATATGTTATTATCTTTTTCAATTTTGTTTTTCCTCTTCTCAGTAGATTACACTTTCTTCAATTTGTTTATATTTGTTACATTATGTGCATGAACTCTAGTTTCTAAAGAGGACCATTTTTTTTCATGTTGATTTTAGCAATATCTTGAAATTTTGAGCCCATACATTGAAGTCCATTTTTGCATGCATACACATCAATCAATTGTCATGCATTTTCTATTTCTTAATCTCTCTCTCTCTCTATCTCTCTCTCTCTAAATATATATAAATATATTGAAAGGCAATATGTATATATCTACTTTATATTTGACCACAAAGACTGATATATATATAGGTCTCCCTTTATCTTATTTAAGCTTTATGAACACTATCCAAGAGGCACGGATGATCCTAGTCTCACTCTTTTTCTAAACTAAAGACAATTTTGTATCATCAAAAATTGCTTTCTTTGTATGATGTTGCTGCTCAGAATTACCTTGGTTTGGTCCCTGCTCTCCATTTCATTTTTCTATTTTCTTTTTTTGGAAGAACATTGTTACTATTTTCTGATCTTCCTTTTTTTAAAGAAAAAAACACATTATTTTCCTTTATTCTCTTTTAAGTTTCTATTCTTCTTTCTTTTTCTTTTTCTTTTTCGGTAATTAACTCTACAGTTAATTTCATGCTATTTGAAAACATTGCATTCATTCTAATAACTCCAAATTAAACACTCTCATAAAGTAGAAAGATCACATTATATGTAATTAATCTTAGCTAGGAAGAAGAAGTGTTAATGGCAATGGGATTGACATAAAAACCTTACATTTGTTTCAGTAATTAATACTTAGCTTTAGCTATTAAAAGTTTTGAGCTTTTGACATTAACACTGAAATCAAAATTTTTAAGTCAATGGAATACGCTGTGCTGATTAATTTTTAAGTTCATTTCTCTAACTATTACAGTGACATTGCTTTGTTCATTAAGATATTTCTATTCTCGTAGTTGATGCTTTTCTTTAAAGCATGATTAATTAATACATTGTTCCTCTTCTTCTTCTTCTTCTTCTTAGATGATTAGATTATGTTTAATTTTCTCTTAATGAAATCTACAGGAAGGACAGTTTCATAACCCACAGGGCATTCTGTGATGCACTTGCTGAAGAAAGTGCAAGACTGTCTGCTGCCAACCAACTAGCCACCGCCACCACAAACCCGGCAACACTGGCTCTCCACCATCTACCACCGCAAAACAACTCAACCCTATCTTCTCTCTTCCCTTTCTCAAACCCTATCTCTTTCCCAACCTGGGACCAACCTCAAAACCCTAACCCTAACACCGCTCAAAACTCTCTTCATGTCAAGCCCGAGGCTCTCCATTTCTCTTCATTCTTTCAGGAAGCACCACCACCACCACAACCGAAGGCAACCCTGATAACCTCACCCTTTCAAAACCTGCCTACCACGTCGATTCCCCACCTATCAGCCACCGCACTCCTCCAGAAGGCTGCCACCGTGGGTGCAACCGCGACGCAGCTCAACATCGCTGCGGCTCAGTTGGGGAGGGCGAGTCAGGCGGTTGAGTACTCCGGCAACAGTCGCGTCTCTTTCCCGCCAGAATTCATGGGTTTCGCAGCTGGAAACCTGGGCATGTGGCAGAAGAACGACCGTCTGACTAGGGACTTTCTTGGCTTGACCGGGAGTGATGGTAGCGACGGGAACGGAGGGGTGAACGTGAACGTCAGCATGAACGTGAGGGACGTCCTGACGTACACCGGCGGAGTGGAGCAGTCGCTGTTGAAGCCCCAGAGTTTTGGATTTGCCGAGCCTGCTTCGGAAGCATGGGGTGACTGTTGAACCCAAAAAAAATATCCATAGAAAAAAAAATGAAAAATTATAAACCAAAAAATGCCCTATCCTAATGACGGAACTGCCCTTGACCCCCATTTTCCAAAAACAGTAGATGGGAAAAAAATAGACACAAAGAAGGGTATTTATGTCTATGCATTATCACAAAGATTTCTGTTATTTTTATTGCAATTTTTTTTTTTTTAATTTTGTCCCTTACAATGTTCATTTTTTCCTTTTGTCCTTTTTTTTTTTTTAAATAAGAATGGTGAATGTTAGTAGCTGAATTTGAACCTAGGACTTTAATATAGCATCCTTAACTCAATAGAGTGGCCACTCCACTAGGTGCTTGACTCCTATATGTATAGTAGTGTTGTTTTTAGGTTTGCTTGTGAGGAATTTCCAAATTAAGAGAATATTTTTGGTTCATTTTATTTCATCACATATAGTTATTGCATATATGATCTGTATTAAATTGTAAAATTTAGCCTAAACATAAGTGAGCTCCAGCATGGATTTAATTCAATCATTCAAGGGACATTATTATGCTACAGTAGGGTGCAAAGAAACGGCAAAAAAAACATCATTCTCTTATTTCTTTCTATTTATTTTCCTTTTATCTTGAGAAAAAAGTGTCATCACATGCATGGTACTTCACACGTTTTCTTTTGTGTGGAGATAGTAACGTCCCATCTTTATCACGACAGCTACTTGGCAATGTTTAATGTCATTGATCTTTCTATATAAAAAAAAAAAAATCATTAATTTTATGCTAACCGCGTAAGCTATTTGCTCCAAATAGACACCAAAAATTTAAATTTGAGTTGTAAGCACGTGGGTAGAGTAAATAAATAAAAAAAAATTAGTACATTTATTGATTTAACACTTGATTCAACATCTTCGGTTTAGTTATTAAAAATATAATATAAATACAATCAATTTAATCGGTTCATATATTCTATGTGTATAATTATATCATTATACTTATCTGTTTTTAATTTTAGATTAAAAAATAATAACTTTTTCATAACTAAACCGAAAAGTGTTAAAAAAATAAATTAGTTATTAAAATTATAAAATTTATGAAAAACTATCTTTTTATTAAGTTAATTCTAAAAAAAATCAAGTATTAATCAATCAAATAAGAAAGAAACCCTATAGCTATCAAAGCTAATATTCCTACGTGCTTTACATAATATAAAATAATTTGATTTCCATAATAAAGCCAGTTCAATTTCACTCATCATCAACAATATGGTGTATTTGTGACAAAGGTCCTTGTCGGCGCGATAATAGGGCCCCTACTTGACAAAGCTTGCTAGCTTTCAACCTTACTCGGATGAGAAAGGAATTAGTCTCAAATTAGGAGTTAATACGAAGACACTTAATCACTACCAACACTAATTAGAAATTTTCTTGTAGTTAATTATTTCAACTAGTAATATGATTTGGTGTCAACCACAGATGTCTGATTTGGTTATTTTAGCTTAGCTGGTTAAAGTTTTATTAAGTTAACTTTTTTTTATATATTTTAATATTATTTTTAAAAAATAATTTTAGAATGCATTTCTCACGTTAATATAATATATTTTTTAAAACAATTAATTTTATTAAGTAATAATAATAGGACAAAGACTGAGCACACATCCATGATAGAAGAAACACACCAATAGCAAGTGGAGAAACAGACAAATAGTGGGTCTTCACCGTACAAGTCAAATTACCATCAAGGTGTCTCTTCCTTTGGAAACTGAAAAGCAAGAACCTCTCATTCAGACATTAACATATAAAATAACAAAAAGGTGTTTATGATGTAAAAATTAAAGTATTATTTGATTTATAATTTCAATTGTATTAAATTATAAAATAAAAATTATTAAGTGAGAAAAGGACTTTTAATATCAAAAAATTAATCTCTATTTAATATTTAAAATTATATAATTTAATATAATTCAAATTATATAACACATTTTAAAAAAATTTAAACTAGTGAAAGAATTATATAAAGAGTTCAAAAGAAAGCTTACCTGTTCCTTCAGTCCTCTATCGGTTATTTTGAGGGGAAAAAAAAAATCAAATATACTACAATCGTCACTTATTTTAAGTATAGATTTTGTAGAATCTAACACAAACTTCCTTTTGTTTAGAAAAAAACTAAGCTAATTTTTTAAAAAAGAATATAGTCTTTGACACTTAAAACAAAATTTTTTTAATTAATCCTTAATTAAAAAAAGAGATCAAAAAAGCACTTTAAATTAAATACATAAACAATCATAATCTGGGACGAATTGTGTGTGGGGAAGGGTAAAAAGAGAAAAGCAGAGAATATCCATTTGTTCAGTCGGGCGTGATGATGACCCTACACACGTATTATGGAAAGCAATGCTTCTGTTTGATGCATTATTGAACTTACAATTACATCCTTTCTATTTAATTTCATTTTACACAGACAAAAATAAGAGCTAAAAAAGCAAGGAGTAGTGTGTAAAAAGTTGACAAAGTGTTTGTTGCACTTGCACACTCTATTAATCAAAATTTAATTTTTTGAGAAGATTAATAAAAAGTAATTTTTTATAAAATTTTTAATCATAATATAAATAACTTATATTTAACAAAATTAATAATAAAAAATAATTTCAAAGTACACGCAAACATTAAAAAAAAAAACCCAATTATCAAACAAATTTTTTTTTTTTTGAAAAAGAAAAAGCTAAAAGAAGAGCATGGGACATCATGTAATTAATGAGCAGGATGGTGGAAGGCCGAGGGCCATCCCTTCTGCTCTTTGGGAGTACTACCTCACCTTGTAAGATTCACGGTAGATCTTACACATTTAAGACCTGGATTTTGCTGTAGTGAGGTCAAGCTGCAAAATTATTTTAATGTCTCATTGTGGAGCCGTACAACGTCGGTGTTATATCTTTCTAAATTTTACTACAACACACAAGCTTAAAACACGAAATTTCTAACTTAAAATATCAAACGTTATAATTGAAATATCTTCCGCAGAACATATTAGTTGACCCACAATGAGAATATGACTTTAGCCATATTTAACATTTCAATTTTCATCAACATTAAAAAATATAGGGGAAGAAAAAAGGTAGTTGAATTTGTTATGCCTAATATTTGTTAAATGTCTTGTCTATATGGAAAGAGTATGTGGAAACTTGAAACTCAAAAGTGCAAATCCTTATTTTCCAATTTAAGCATCATAAACTGATAGACTAGAAAATTCAATCAATTGCCGACTTAATCTGACTAAAAAAATTCCCAATTGAGTGGTTGGTACATAATCAAGTTCCAAGAACCACTTTTTCCAATCGCTTTTGGGGGAGAAAAAAATGGGTGATACCATGAGAAAATTGACGGCTTTTTATAAAGATGAGTGGGGAAGGAAGGTGAAGTAAAAAACATGTAGTAAGCATGAGTAAAAAGAGCTACTGAGTTGATGGTGTATGTAGATTTGTGCATGGTGTGGTGGTGGTCCAGAAAAACAGTGGTACTAAACCTAGAGGAACAAGATCCACAAAATAAATGAAAGTGAGTAAATGTCAACGGTTATGAAAAAGATGCTCTCGATAAAACTTTGAATCGCAATTCTCACTCACTCAAACCTCTTTTCTCCTTGAGACCCTTTATCAATTTCTGTGCATGACCCCATATCACTCAGGCCTCAGCCTCTGCTTGGCAACTTAGCCTAACATTACTACTTACTACCTCAATTCCCACACTGCATCAATCTTTCTTGACTTCGCTAGCATATACCACCTAATAATCTATTGATCTTGACTGTTCAATTGACGTCTATTGGCCAGTGTACATAACATAGAGTATACAAAATCTCAAATATGGGTAATGAACATACGTTACAGATGACTTCAGAATGGTTTAGTGCACCTACTTAGGGTTAAAAGTATCTTACTTGACCGAATTACAAACCGTTCAATTGTCACTTGTTAGGAAATCCATCTGATTCAATTGATAATTATGAAATTACCATCAATATTCTCTTTAACAACTTTAAACAAAAGATAAAAGGATGTAGGAAATCCATGTTACTACGACTACAACTTGGTATCATATTCAACCATAAAGAGAGGAGAGAGAGAGGGAAGAGAAAGCCTAGGGATTAATGAAAGGAAAAGTTCAGTGTTTATGGGTATATCCAAGCTTTTAGAAAGTATGTGTAAGGTGGTGCAGGGTTAACGTACATTATATATCATATACATGCCATTTGCCTACTAAAAAAGACAGCCTCTTTTTATCTCCCTCTGCTGCACAACCAGACAAACCAAAAGCTCTTTCTTCTATTCCCTCTTCTCCCTCTTCCTCTCAAATACTTGCAAATGTCACCTTCCATACAGGGAATCTCTTCTCAACAAACCTCACTTTTGCTTCTTTCTCTTCCCCTCCCTTCCAATCCTAATAATTAGCAAACCCATCTTTTCAGTGCTTTTTCTCTTTTTTACCTTCCGCTGCAAATCACCATAATACACCCCCACTCGCCCTCTCTTTTCCACACCTCCTAACCATTACATTAATAACACTACTACCAGCTCCTAATTAAGGGATAACTCTTACTGTCTTAGTTCTTACCAGAGTTTAAGACTCCAAATTGATGGTTTCAAATTCAAACCTTTAAACCGGTGAGGTCTGGAAAATGAGAGGGTTATCATGTTGTCCATCATCAAATGTAACCCAAAAAAAAATAAAAAAAAGAGGAAAAAACACCCTACACATAACCACATCATATTCAGCATTCCCTCTCCAACAGAAGAGCATCTTTCTACCGTCTTGCTTAAGTCAACAACTTTAAAGGTCTATTTTCATTAATATTTTCTATTTTCATCCACCGAAGTTTAAAATATTGTAACAGAAGTTTTGCAAAGATGGTAACAGAAAAAGACAGTGACCAAAGACCATTATAGATTAATTCCATAGTTGGTTAACTTTTAGGAACATTGCCCCATCTTAGCTTTCTTCTTCCCAACACATAAAACCCCACAATGCCTACCGTTTTAACTGGTGTTTACACACCAGATATTCTTTACTACTAGATTGTTGTTTAAATGGTGTAAAAACTAGTCTCCTACAAGCTAGTTATAGGCTTAATGGTCCATATAAACATAAGAACGAAAACATGAACTTTGGAACTTGAACAATACACACCTTAAACCAGCAGAGCTATGCTGCACCATTCAAGGTTTGCAATGATTCAGATTCTACAAAATTGTGAATGAGGCACATGGTAAAGTACTGATTGCGACAGAAAGCCTCTGAAATGAATATGCATCAATTTACAATCTCGAGATCACTGCAGGACCAATTCTAAAGAAGATTCACTAGATGTGTCTTCCAACCCCTGGTTTTAGCACGTTAAAGTCCACACCCATATATTTATCCAATACAGTCTTGAATGCCTGCAACAGAAAACTAAGAACTTTGACCAACACTGTAAGATGCATTTTTTTAATAAACAATTCTTATATTTTGAATAGTCAATTTGGTCATTGTTGTGTTCTGAAACTTTGAAATGAATCTTTGAAAGCTTGGAGGAATATTATGGTCCATCTGCAAATTTCCAATTAGTGCCTTATGCAATGATGGAGGTGCTATATATGACTATGAAGCGATAAACACGAATGCCTACTGGGAAAACGGTCATAAGAAAATTTTTAGAACTAAAGAAAAGAGATGCCAATATAAAAGCAAAGTCAAAAGACTGCTAATAGGGAAGAATCAATTCTTCAAAGGTGATGGGGATGAGAATACAATAATAAGTAGGTATAAATTAAATTAGATTCTGTCTATAGAGGCAAAGTTGTAAAGATACTCATCAAACAAGATACTCTGCCTCTTTTCTCCATCGTTAGAAAAACCTAAACACAAGGGATCATTTTGTCTTGCTGAATGCCAACTAAGTAGTGAATATTTTAATCTTTTACCATCATTTTGTCAGCTTCAACATTCTACTACGACCGTACAATTGCTCACAAAGAAAACAGTGAGATGAACGTAATTGGAGAGCTTGTGAAAAGATATGATCAATACAGATTTCTTTATTGCACATATTAATGGTAAACCACAATGATAGACTGATTTGGTTGATTTCCTTTGAATTCACTAATATAAGTAAACGAGATTTCTCGAGTCAACCCAACCCAACCCAACACCCCCACACTAAGAGAAGAAATAAACATAAAAAAAAAAAAGAAAAAAGAAATTCCATTTTAATTTACTAACGTCATGCCAAATAAAATAAGTTACTACTGAAATATCTCATAGCAAATGTCAAATGATACCCATATGTCAGAAATATTATACGCATCATCTGTTTCAGTCTGGAAAGAAACAATTCAACAATATAAAAGCATTACCTGGTGTGCAAATGATTCTTTTCCATTTAATATTACATCCATTGCAGCAAATTGGTCATCAAATGCACCATAGAAAATCTGGTAGAATTTGTTTCTGGAATAACATATGATGACTACCAGTGTCAGGCCAAAAGGCATGAAGTATTGTTTTTGCAGAAAAGAATCAAATCAAAACCTCATGAAGAATTATACCGATCTTCTTCAGAGTTCTGTTGATCAATCTCATCAAATTTTCGAGTAAGAACTTCTGCCCCCACGGGAGAAAGCAAGTGAAGAATCAGAGCCTCCAATGTCCTAGGGAAGTTGTGCTGAAAGGAATTGTATAATGTGGATAACCATCTCACAATGAAAAATAAAATAAATAAAATAAAAGAGCAAAGAACACAGAAACCAGGAAAATTTAGAATAATAATATTAAAACAGAAGAAGAGGTATTTAATAGCATGTCATAAACATCTCCATAGGCAAGCAGCCAAGTACCTTTGATAACACAATTCCCTGAACTTTCAAAGAATAAAAATGCAGTACCAAAATGGTGCCATCAAGATAAAACCAAACTTTTCATCATCAAGCAAAATAAAATGGAAATGTTATTCAAGAGAATACCTTCAAAACAAACAAGCTTCATTCTAGTAATTAACAGAAAATTCAGTTAGAAGAATTAAGGCTTATAGCTTATAGGAGATGAAAAACTCACAGCCATTGCAAGAAAGACATTTTGAAGAGTGTGAGGTTCAAGGTTCCAAAGAATTTTAGCAACTGGATCATCTTCCAACTGAAATAATTCAGTAGTCAGAGTTTTCTGGTGTTCATCTTTCACATGAGGCACAGGATCATTCACTGAAGTAGATTGCATCAGTTGAGTTTGATCAGCGACATTAATATGGTCATGAACTAAAGAGACAAGTTCATGAAGAGCCCCAAGAGAAAAGGGTTCAAGCTCATGCAGAAGAATCCTTTGCTGCAATTCTTTCCCTTTCAAATTGTTTGTCTCATTTGACTGATCTAAGTTATTGTTTGCATGGTCTACAAACAAAACCATCAAGTTTAGATACAAGAAAAAGACCACTTGGAAAAGATATCTGATACTTTTCTTTCTTTTCAAATGATTCCAATACCAAAGAAGTTGAAGATATGGTAAGCTCCCGAGCATGCTCATCCAAAACTTACCTCCTTTATTCGGCACCTCATCCATCTGTCTTTTCGGTCTCCCCACACAAGGAGAACCTTTTAGAAATACTTGGTTCTGCCCTAATTTCAAACAAAATACACTTCATAGTGTTTGCTAGATTTTAGAATGGGATAAGTAACAAAGAAAAATGCAGTGGATTTCAATACAAACAGCTACGGCTACTGTATACAGGCAAGAAACACAAAGCAGCAATTTTGGAAAATACATCAACAGATACTGCTTGTGTTTCTAATCTGCAACAAGTTCAAAAACTATCCTGAACAGATTATTAAAAACTTGGGTAAAATTTCAAAATCCAGAAGGTACATTGCATTAATGAAAATAAGGAAAACTGACTGAGATCTGAAAATTTCTGCAAATGTATTTTAGATTGAAATCATGACAGAAAAATGATTCAGACAAGCATATTCTTTGGCAATGTCTGGGAGTGAGGTAAGGAGGAACAAAGATGTGTGTCAAGTTATATTGACAAACATTATCTGAAGTAAATGGCATCTGACCAAGATACATACCATTTCTCTGTCTGTCAATCTTCAATACAACACGTTGATCCCATGAGTAAATAAAACAAGGACAACAGAAAATCGAATTAGCTTGTAACATTAATTATAAACATGTAGGAGAGGAGAGTTACCAGTGAAACTATGAAACATTTAAAAACAGCTAGAACTACATGTACCTTCTCAGTATTCTGCGCAGATAGTAGACATCCATGTGGTCTGACATGCTAGACATGATGCTGGAACGCCACCAGAAATTAACTGCGATTGTCAAGTCTTCACTATCTACTTGGTGGAACCTGTAGCAGCAATGAAAAAAGAATAGTAGCCTGATCATGTACTAAGATCATCATAACTCTGACAAAAATTGGTTGTTATAATGAAAAAACAAATATTTTAATGGTTAGTTAGTATAGACCAAATAGTGAGAATGGAGGTGAAGCATTAATGGTCAAGCTAAAAGGCTGGCTATTACTTAATTGGATTACCAAACAAAGACATTACAAGCTCACAAATGACAAAGAATTTGTAAAGCCTGAAACTTCCCTTCACACCATTTATTATATGCTATGAAGAGACTTACTGACTGTCAACAAAGTGGGCACCCGATATCTCAAGTGACTATCCATAGGTTTAAGCAGTCAACATCAAGCGCAGAGAGATGAGTTTAATATCAAAAACCTCAACGAAGGTCAGTGTTAGCATAAAAATAAAGGGGAAGCACCTATAGATGTAGTTTTCTACAAAACAATAGAATTTAACCAACCTTACCAGCCTTCAGGAATGAAAAGTGCATCACCTGCATGAAGAACAACCTTTTGAGAGTTCTCCATTGCATATTGTGCTCTTGGATAAACAGAATAATCAGGGTTTCCTAACGCAACAGCACTGTCAAGGAATATTAAAGAAATAAAAAGATTGAGCATTTAAAGTTTTTTTTTTTTTTTCTTCGAACACCACCATTTCAAGAATTAGAAACACTACATTTTCATTTTCATGAAGCTGGATAAAACAAAAATAAAAATAAAAATAAAAATTATTTTCTTAATAGGCTAGTATTAATGCACAACATAGCATACCTATGGTTTGAGGCCTCCCCATATATTGGCATGGGGTACAACATGGGACTTGCAGAAGGAGGCCATAAAACAACTGCAGGTGATATGGTTCATCAAGAAAATAAACATTGATTCTGATATTTATCAGATTATACACATTGAAAGCAAGTCAGCAAGAGAGAATAAATGGAGAAACACTGCAAACAAGTTTATTTCCATTGACTGAATGGTAAAGTGGGACATCAAGAGAACATCTCTGATAGGGATCTTATGTCTAATATATATTATTTTTGGCCGGGCTCTTATGTCTAATTCTAATTGTATTTCTTAATCACAGTGAAATAACAGCAAATATAAGTTAGCCAATGACAACCTCAAATGCTAGCTCATATGAAACAATCCTTCGCCAATCATCGATTTGTACGGATGAACAAACAGGGGCAAAATATTCACATGTAGTCTTATGCCATGCACATGAATGCTATCTGAGAGGACTTTTGGAAGGGTTATTTACAGTATTTAGGCTTATTATGTTATTATGATTATTCAGGTGTTAATTTTTTTAATTTATTATATTTTTCTTAGTTTTGTTAGGATTATATCTATTATTAGGATGCTTGTAATATGAATTATGAACCCAAAATCTTGAGTAGTCAGGCAGTAAAACACTAGTTCCATTACACATGTTAAAGCTGTTAGAAGTATGAAAGTCTAATCTGCCTTAACACTCTCAGGGGGAACATCATCAAGAAATTTGTAGATTGCAGGGGGGATAGAGGAAAAAGGACTCACCTTGTTTACATCCAGATACTATACATAGAAGGTTATTATGTGGATCATAGTGAGTACTTGACCGAGCTTGATCACTGTTCATCCACAAATTAATAGATGATATAGCTTTTGTCTCCAAAATCGCAGGCTGTGTAAGTTAATCAATGAAAATCAGAAAAGTTTTTCTCGAAAAAATGTTAATCTAAGAGCGAGTTTAAACAACAAAATTTGCACAGAGAAACATACAAACCATTTGAATGTCTTCACTCAAAATTTGTAGTTGAACCCTCTCTTCATTCTCAGCATTCATAATTGGAACCTAAAACACAAGTATCAACAAACAATCCAAAAAGAACCTATACCAAGCAAAGAGATCTGTACTTCTTATTACAACCTAATAGTACAGTCTTGAGAGATTAAACAAGAGTAAGCGAACAACAATAAAAGAAGTATCAATAATAATATCAGTAATCACAATGCTGCAAGAATTGTCACCTGTGCTAAATAGATTTGCTTAGGAGCAGAATCTCCAGCCGGCAAACAGCTTTGTTGAATATCAGATTCTCCCAGCTGATGCCTCTCCTGCTCAGAATTGATGCTGCAAGGATCAACCGTGTTTTGCCTATGTCGTTGTTTACAAAAATCGATGAAGGTGGAAAATGGCAAGGGAACCTATAAAATGAAACAATCGAACTCTATCATGAAAAAAAAAAAAAAATCGTTGTTACGTATGCAGGAAGCACGTTAAACTACTTACCCTCTCATGGCTCCTAAGATTGCCATAAAAGACCGGCGCAGCTCTAGATAGCATCGCCTCCACAACAGATGACCCTGCCCGCTCCTTAATTTGATTTCATTATATCATAATTAAAACCAGATTTCAAAGAGAGAGAATAGGAACAGGAAGGTTGAAGAGAAACCTCCAAATAGTCGAGGCCACCGGAAGAAGGATTCCACTTGGAGAAAGCTTTCCAATCTTTAATGCATCCTTTGAATACCTACAAACGAAGAGGAAAACATCAGCATGAAGAGGAAAGGTTGCATATTCATCTTTGAGTAGAAGAACGAAGAAAGAAGAAGGAAAATGTGTCGATTAAAATTTTCTCGATAACCAAACGGATAAGAGGAGGTGGCAGAAGATGAATACCGCAGGAACGTTTCTGGATTCAATCTGAGAAACAAACTCTGATGCCGAAGGAAGTTGCTCGAAGTGATGAATCCTCAGCGATTCTTCCATTTTTTTCAGGGTACGCGACTACGCGGAAGGGAAAGCTTATGTCATATGCGCCATGGTTGAATGAGGAAAGTTTTGTCTGGACACTTTTCTCCGTTTTAGTTCATTCCATAGGTCCATAGTAGCACTGTTTCGGGCCTTTAACATGGTTTTAGACTTCTTTAACCACACTTAAATGGGCCGCTGGTAGCCCATACATGTTTTCTCACTCTCACACCATTCTTTTCTCATTTTTAAGAGTGATAATATTTTTTCGAAAAAGAATTTTAAATGTCCGACGTATATATTTATTAAAATATTTTTATTAATATTATTACCTATAATATTTCACTAAATTTATTTTTTTAATTTTATAATTCAAACTGTACATTAATTTCATACTTTTTTTTTATTAAAAAAAATGACTTTTTGTGGGAAATTTGTTCTCCATGCTTAGTTAATCTTATAGTTTAACTTTAAAAAAAAAAAAAGAAAAAGAAAAAGCAGATGAGTGAAATTTTTTTTGTTAAATTAGCAAAAAATTTAGAAAAAAGTGGAGGGAAGTGGAGTCCTTTACTTTTAGCTTTAATTCCTTTACTTAATTTGAATGAGGGAAGAAGAGAGAAGAGAAATAAAAAAAACTCTTATCTATTTCTCTCAAATTAATTAGCATACCGTTAATTTCAATTAAATGGTGAAAAGATAGAATTATTAGCAATTTTATACATGCCTAATAATGTTTTTTAAATTTTCATACCCAATCTAATATTAAAATTAGTTATTTTAAACTAAAAACTTACTTTCTTATTTTTATAGATGCTAATGAATCTTAAACTAAATTTAATTTCTTGTCGAAAAAAAAAAAAACTATTTGTCAATTTTTATTGTTGATATTTTAATCAAATTTATTTACCTTTGTCAAAACTTGTTTTTACTTTTATATACAACGAGTTTGTAAAATTCTAAAATTATTCGAACAAAGTTACCATACAAATTTATTTGTTTTGAATCCTCTGATAAATGTCTCTTCTTAAAAGTTATTGGATGGCCACCATCCACCACCAAAAAGATACATAGACCTTAACAAAAATCATGAGCCTCCAGCAGGTGGAACACGACTACTCCCTTGGAGGTGTGTTTGCAAACCTCTAATCATGCAAGAGGATCGTTTCATGGACCTTGGTGCCCGCCGCGTCGTCCACAGCCACAGCAGCCGTAATCTCTTCCAATTCCTCCGCCGTAAACTTCACCCTCAAAGATCCAACGTTATTGTCCCAATTGCCAATCTTAGTTGTCCCTGTACAATATTCAGACAGATTCCCCTAAATAATTGAACCAAATCAGGCAATATAAGTTCTATAACCATACAAGAAATACCTGGGATGGGAACAACATCTTTGCCTTGGTGGTGCAACCATGAGAGAGTGAATTGTGCGGAGGAGCACCCGTGCTTCTCCACCAACTTCACCACTCTTTCGTAAAATACCTTGTTTTTCACTAAATTCTCTCCTGTAAACCTTGGATGTTTTGCCTGGAAGTATTTAATTCGAGAAAAATAAGCTAAATTATAGACATACTGAACATAATGAAATCAAAGTACATAACAAGAAACTATTTTCAGGTACTGTTTCAGTAATTCCCCTTCCCAGGAAGAAACCACGGAAAAGAGGTCCATAACACACTATCCCAATATATCCCAAGTTCCCTACATATATTGAAGAACATAGAAACTGTTAATACCTTTATTTGAACGGTAGCTAGTAACACCCCATATATATGCTTCGAATGTTATCTTAAACTCAAAAACCAACAGATCGTAATTATAAGTTTTTATATATGTATTTACCTTATTTTTAACATATTACACTCACATGTGAACCTCTAATGGTTTATACCAAAAAAATTAATAATGCCATAACCATTGGCTCGGACTCACCTACAAAGAGGAACAATTTGTTGTTCGACATCTCTAGTCCACAAAGACCATTCCACTTAGAGAGCAGTAACAGGATGAACAGCATGTGCCCTGCGTATGGTGTCTGGACTAGCCACACATAATCCAATGTACTTATTTTCCCGTCTTCAACTAACCTCTTAAGCTCCTCCATCCATCATTTAAATGAAAAACAAAACAAAATAATAATAATAATAATAATAATCCAAACCTTGTGCTTGAAATTGATGGTCCAAATATAAACACATGCCGTACTCAAATGAACACATACTGTGTCTTCAATGGATACTGATTGGTCCACTCGATGCTGGTAAAAGAGGTCAATGTAGTCCAGGTCAAGTCTCTTAAGGCTAGCCTCGCAGCAGGACCTCACATACTCAGGACGGCCGCAAACTTTCAGACAATCGGATCCCGTTGCCAGCATCCCAAATTTGGTGGCAATCTGAAATTTGTCTCTAGGCATTTGCTTCAAGGCCTAAACACACACATTTATGTATCTATATGCATTTAATTCATTAACTTCAAAATTGAAGTAATTCCATAGTAACTCATAATGTAAACTATCTAAATTAAAAGGATAGAAGCTCTACCTTTCCGATCATGATTTCGTTAGCACCGGCTCCATGAACATCTGCAGTGTCGAAGAGGGTGATCCCTTTATTGAAAGCATCCCTGATTATTGATATCCCTTCTTCCTCAGACATAGAAACACCATATGCTCCAGTAAGTCCATTGCATCCAAAATCCAACTTAGAAACCTAACTTCCCCAAAAAAATAAATACATAGAAATCATAAAAGATGATAAAGTAAGTTTTGACTCAAGATACCATTTGACAATTATACCCAATAAAAGTAAAGTTAGAACTTAACAACTTAATTATGAGAAAATTAAGTGTAAGATATGCCTACCTCTAAACCCTGGTTTCCTAATTTGACTCTGGGAACTTGGTCTTCCATAGGAGACATCCTCAGTAAAGCTGAGTGTTAAACACTTGGTCGTTGGTGGAAGATGTATTGAACCTCTTCTAGGAGAAACTCTAAAATATCTCAGGGATACCGATACCACTCACGTGGTATCCTTGTCCATGTGAGTGATATCACTGTAATATTTTAGAATTTCTCTTTTTTTAGAGCAACAAAATGGTGTGGCTGTCATTTTTGTATAAAAAAATTATCCTCTCTTAAAATGAATTTCTATATTTGAAATTCCCCACAACCCTAAGAATCTTTAAAACATTGTGTTTATTTTATTCTTCAATTTTTAATACCAAGATGAACAAATTATAAAACTATGTTGATCTAACATATTGGAAATTTGGCATTGCTAGATTTTTAACAACTCTATTCCTGGAAATTGGTTCCCCTTGTCGTGTTGTGTTGCACATGGAAATTTGGTGTGGACATGTTTTGACAAACATAAAATGAAATTAATCAGGGTTTGGACCTTTGTCTATATCAGTTCTAGACAGACCAACTTTCTTGAGTACCAAATTAAACTAAGCACAGAAAGTATGGTTTGGTATTGTCTATTGGACTGGTGGTGTTCTGCTTCTAAGGAACTTGTATTGTGGGGTAGTTGATGGAACATTACAATCACTAGTATATTTTTCAGGTGTGGATTTGTTTATAATTAATGTGAAGCTCATGCCTCTTCTCTCCGTTATATTCTCCTCTTTTGACTTTGATTCCTTATGGGATTCCAATTTTACTTATTTTATTTTATTTTAATTTAGGAGACTTTGGATGATTCATTTTAGTAATTAAGCGAACTCTTAATATTTGATTTTAATTGATTAAGAGTTTAAATCCCACCAACCACTTGAATATCTACATAAAGTTTATGAGTTATTCATGCTTCTCTCACCCTATAACTTGGACCCATTTCCTTCATCCTTCTCCTTATAATTGCCCTTGTTTTAAAAAAATATAAATAATCATGAGGTTCTTTATTTTAGGGTTTGATAAGACTTTTCAGTTAAATAGTAATTTTTTATCTATATATATGAACTTTTAATTTTATTTATTTTGTAATGAGTAGAAATACCATTTGTATTCTAAATAATAATATAATTTTTTATTAATAAAATTTTTTAAAATATATATATATTTCAAGGTCATTACACAATAAAAGAATAAATTAATTGAAAACGCCACATGATAAGGGTTACATTAAGAAGCAGGCCTATCTGAGATGATTAATGTGGCCACGTTTAATTATATGATCTTTCACTTTTGGAGACGATTCCTTTCAATTCTATAGGTGAAGCATCGCTATCAGGCGTCAGGTATAAAGCCCTTATAGATGCAGCCTAAATCAGTATAATTTGGGCCCAAATCCAACCCACTCTTGAAACCCAGTTATACCTAGTACTCTAAAATTCCCCTTGATGCAAGTAACAGGCAATTTTTATTTTTATTTTTTACATAATTTATAGGGTTGAGGAAAATTCAGAGGTCCTATCAATTAAAATTAAAATATCAAAACTAATAATGAAAAAAATAAAATATTTTTAATAAATTAACACAAAAAAATTTATTTAAAATATTTAAATAATTTCACAAAAAATCTAGTGCCTTGAGTTTTAGCACAGGTAAGGACTCTAACTTTTAAAATTTTACTAATTAAGATTCAAACTTTTTCTTATTTCTAATTGAGGAGTTTAACTTTTTTGTTTTTCTATTTATAATAATTCAAACTCACAAAATTTACTATAAGGCTTCTTAATTCCGTTAGGTGACCTATTTTAGGTGTTAATTGGTCGAAAAAAAAAAACTATTTTGCTATTGATAACATAAACAACAAATAAAAAAATTGAAAAATTATTTTTGGTGTGAGACCTACAATGAGCATAATAAAGTCTCAATTTGTCCATGTTATCAATGAAAACATGATTTTTTTTCAAGTTGCACTTAACTTGAGTCACATTAACGAAATTAAGAAGTCTGTATTAGCATTTTATCTAATAAAACCCTATGTGTTAAAATTGATGAGTTTAAATATTTAAATAAAAAATTAAAAAGCTAAGATCTTTAATTAAGAATAAAAAGAAAATTCTCAATTGTTAATTAATAAATTTTCAAAACTTAGAGTCCTAATTAGTCCTATTTGTCATGATGCCCTTTATTCTCTTTCTTACATGTTCCTTTTCAAAAGTGAAAATTTTTTATCTTCCTAGGTACGTAAGATAAAAAAAAAAAATTAAAAAGAACAAGATTTAATTTCAAAATTTAAATGTAAAATGAAAATTACATAATATTTGTTTTCTTTATCAATGATGGGATATAATTCACCTATTTTCAAGCCTTTTTTGGCTTATCATATACAAGTATGGCGATTAAATAAGAAAATTATGGTCATTTTTTGAAAATTTCAAAGAAAAAAAGCAGAGTATGAGATTAGAAGAATTCAGTAAACATGATCAAATTCAAGGTTGAAGCTTTCTTTCTTTTACAAAATTTCTGATGTTCCTGGAAGGTACAAAATTGAAACCTTCAAATTTATATTTATATTTTCATCATATTTGTCAAAGGAAAAAGAATACTAATTAATTAGGATTAGGAAAATGGATACGGCAATAATTTTTTTTTTTTTAAGGGGAAGAAAGTATAGGAAATATTCAAAAAAGTCAGCCAACGGGAAACAGTCCCGCCCTCCATCTATTCCGCAAGGTCTTGCGCCATCGTCCGCCTAAGCGTGGGCTCCACTTTCACGCGCTTTGCAAAGTGGTGGGACCACACCTCAAACCCGCTTTCACACGCGCTACTCTTCGCGTAAAGAGCAAACCTGTCCCCTTGAGTGTTTTTTAGCTAATTAGCTGGCGCCTTGTATCAGGCCACTGACTATGCTCATGCGAGTTGTAAAGCACAACGGTTCCACCACCGCGTGCCGAATTGCCGATTGAATTTTCAAATTATAAAACCACAGTTATTGAATAACAAGCAGCAAAGTCTGAAAAAAGGTCCAAATTAATATCAGATCAGATAAAACTAAAGTATAAAAAATAGTATGCATCACCGGCGATGGCGGGCGATGGCGGCAATGGTAAAATGTATTTTATATTATAAATATTATAATAACTTAAATTTTAGAAAAAAAATTAAGATGTTGATGTTTAATAATAATTATATAATAAATTTAATAAA